TATCTGATGCCCAAAGAGGGAGAAGGGGCGGTCTCTCCTTCCAGGCTGGCGCTGGCTTCAGGAAGCCAGGCTGGCAGGCTCAGCCACGGTTGCTCTCTGTGAAACACAAAGCTCCCTCCATAAACTTGCGTGATGTCAACCACCAGACTCATGTCTTGATTCCTTCTAGATTGGCTCTATCTTGCTGCAAAGCAATTGTTTTAGTGTCTAGTCAATTCCTGTAAGATCACGAAGCAAGGTCAGAGCTCAGGCCCTAAGAAGGCATACAAGAAGAGAAAGAGATCTGACCAACAGGCAGAATTGGGGCTGCTTATCATGTGGATGTCTTATCACTTTCTTTGTTTTCATGACTTAAGAACGCTGGAGGGCCAGTGGCTCAATGCCTATAATCTCAGCACTTTTGGAGGCTGAGGAGGGTGGATTGCTTGAGGCCAGGAGTTCGAGACCAGCCTGGCCAACATGGCAAAACCCTGTCTCTAAAAAAAATACAAAAAGAAATTAGCCGGGCTTGGTGGTGTGTGCCTGTAGTTCCAGCTACTCGGGTGGCTGAGGCAGGAGAATTGCTTGAACCTGGGAGGCAGGGTTGCAGTGAGCCAAGATTGCACCACTGCTCTGCAGCCTGGGCAAAAGAGCGAGACTCTGTCTCAGAAAGTAAAAATAAAAAAGTACCCTGGGGTCCTAAGTACAACAGAGAGGCTGGTTTCTGATTCCCAGGCCCTGACAGATGCTCTGCGTCCGTTCATTGTCATGGGTGGAAGCTACCCTGTTCCAGCAGTGCACAGCTGTGATCCAGATGTCAAACTTAGCCCAGCCGCTAATCCCATATTTTATTTTAGACATGCTATGATTGGAGAGGAGCATCAGTTAGTTGGAGAGAATGCAGAAAGAAGCCACAACGATGAGAGCATCAGGAAATGGGACTACCTACTGTAGGGGTCAGAGGAAGAGCCAAGTGGGGGAAAATAAAGCTGAAAAAAGGCCAATTCATGATCTTTGAGCACAGAACACACTATCATGTAGAAGAGAGCTGCAATGTGGCCTTGTTGAGAAGGTTTAAACTGTATCATTAAAGAGTTAGGTTAGGCGAGGCAAAGTTACACAGTAGAATTCCACACTTTGTGGAGCCTAAGACTCTGCAACCCAAGGATGCAGTATTATTTTTTGAACCATCAAGAAAGAAAAAGAAAAGTGTATGGTTCAAAACTCTAATACTTGCTTACACTTACAATATTTAATTTTTACTTACTGAAAGAGCTCTTTTATGGCCAGATGTGGTGACTTACACCTGTGATCCCAGCACCTTGGGAGGCCGAGGCAAGTGGATCATTGGAGGTCAGGAGTTTGAGACTAGCCTGGCCAACATGATGAAACTCCGTCTCTGCAAAAATTAGCCAGGCGTGGTGGTGGGTGCCTGTAATCCTGGCTACTCAGGAGGCCGAGGCAGAAGAATCGCTTGAACCCGGGAGGTGGAGGTTGCAGTGAGCCAAGATCACGCCGCTGCACTCCAGCCTGGGTAGCAGAGTGAATCACTATCTCAAAAAAAAAAAAAAAAAAAAAGAACTTTTTAGACTTAGTTTTATTATGTACTGTGCATACTCATAAAGAAAACTATACATCTATGCATACATATAAGTATACATTTTACATGCATATAAAGGAAATATAGTAACATTAATTGGAAGAGGAATCGCTTGTTAAAACTTTCTCATATTTGAGTCTGATGCTTCTCAATCACTTTTCAAGTCAGAGTACTTGAGATAGTACTTTTTTCATATATTATCGTCTTTGTCTAGAGTATCGGTGATGTAGCATGTCTTAAAAGATTCCTTAAAAGAAGTAAAGGTCAGTGTTGCTAATTATTGTTGCTAATATCGATTTAAGCCAGGTTTGTCAATTTAAGTCAAATATGTAGAGCAACACTTCTCATCTCGAGCCTACACCCAAACATCCCGGAGGGCTTGAGACACAGGTTGCTGGACCCCAGTCCCAGAGATTTTCTCTCTTTCTTTCTTTCTTTCTCTCTTTCCCTCTTTCCCTCTTTCTCTTTCTCTTTCTCTCTCTTTCTCTCACTCTCTCTCTCTCCCTTTCTCAGACGGAGTCTTGTTCTGTTGCCCAGGCTGGAGTGCAGTAGTGTGCTCTTGGCTCACTGCAGCCTCCGCCTCTCGGGTTCAAGCAATTCTCCCGCCTCAGCCTCCCGAGTAGCTGGGATTACAGGCACCCGCCATCATACCTGGCTAATTTTTGTAGAGACAGGGTTTCACCATTTTGGCCAGGCTGGTCTTGAACTCCTGACCTCAAGTGATCCGCCTGCCTTGGCCTCTCGAAGTGCTGGGATTACAGGCGTGAGCCACCACGCCCAGCCCACTCCCGGAGATTCTGACTCAGTAGGTCTGGCATGGAGCTCGAGAACGTGCATTTATTTCCTGCCAGCTGCCAGGTGATGCTGATGTTGCTGGTCCAGGCACCATACTCTGAGTAGTACTGATGCAGGATAGGGTTGGCCCACTCTGCGCCTTCAGGAATGTTTCTGAAGATATCCGATTCCCTGCCTCCTTGCCTGTTCTCCATGACCATCAGTCTTTTATGGGCCAAAAGAGTACTCCCCCTTGGATTTGCCTCCAAACCTTCTGGACCATCCTGAGAGTTTTTTGCAGGTGATTTTGACATTGACGCGTCGTCAGGCCCTGATGGCTGTGTCCCACCTTACACCTGCCTGATGGCCATTGTACTGTTACTGTAAGATGAATCCAGATTTCCAAGATGCTGAACTGGGGGTGGGAGCAGGGAGGAGAAAGTGCATCTTAAAATTGACAAATGCAGTAGTTTTTGTCAATGTGTTATGTCAACTAGTTACATGACTTGAGGAAGGGTGTGGCCTAGGCCAGCCTGGAGGCAGAGATGGGAGCGGTTTCTCAGTCCATAAGCCTCCTGGGGCTACCCAGACACTAAACAGTACCTGCTCACAGCAGGGACCAGTGCTGCAAGTGTCCCGTCTGGTATGGCCTTCTGCCTCATGTGACGATGGTGGGGGACCGAGCCAGATGGTTCTCTCTGGTGATTCTAATGTTAACTACCCAGTCTTTTTTTTTTTTTTTTTTTTCATTTTTAACAATGCTGCTAGGAAACCTCTGCTGTTGTTCAGCATGGCACACTAGCAAAAAGGCAAAAGGTCTTTCTTGCACTCTGTGGCTGAAATAATAAAGAGCAGCTGTAAGTGGTGGGGCAGATGGCGTGAGCCCTGGCAGCTGGGGACTGCTTGTCTTCATTAGTGTCACTGGCAGACAGCTTCCCCTTCGACATGGGGTGGGCCCGCAGGTCACCCAGCTGGTTCTCTCTAGAAGCCTGTTGGGTATCAGTGTGGCCTTGTTTTCAAGGCTTTTTTTTCTTTCTTTCTTTTAGACAGGGCCTCGCTCTGTCACCCAAGCTGGAGTGCAGTGGTGTGACCTCAGCTCATTGCAGCCTCCACCTGCAGGGATCAAGCGATTCTCCTGCCTCAGCCTCTTGAGTAGCTGAGACTACACGTGTATGCCACCACGCCCGGCTAATTTTCTAATTTTATGTAGAAACAGGGTTTTCCTATGTTGCCCAGACTGGTTTCAAACTCCTGGGCTCAAGTGATCCTCCCTCCTTGGCCTCCCAAAGTGCTGGGAGTACAGACATGAGCCACTGTGCCATGCCAACCATGGCTTTCAAGACTTTAACAAACTCCTGGCAAGCACAAGCTCCCTCACGTCTCCTTTTGGCTCTTGTTTCCATGAGCATGTCTTCTTTGTCTAAGCCAATGGTTCTTGACTGGGGGCTGTTTGGCCCCTTAGGAGACATCGGGCAATGTCTGGAGACATTCTTGGCTGTCACAACTGGGAGGAGGTGCAATAACAGGTGCATCTAGTAGGCAGAGGCCAGGGATGCTGTTAAACATCCCACCGTGCGCAGGACAGCCCCACAGCAAGGAATGTGCCAGTGCAGAATGCCAGTGGTGCTGAGGTTGAGAAATCCCGGCCTAGTAAGCAAAGCAACCACTAGATTCAAAATGTTCTGGACTGCTGCTTTCTGTTTCTTGAAATCTGGAGAAGAGAATGAAGAGAGGAAATAAAATGACTCTTTAGGCTTCTTGCAGTGTGGTGTTGTAAATGGTCATAAAAAGCTATAATTCACTTGGCACCAATTTTGGACGCTTTCTTCTGATATTGAAACAGTAAAAATAAAATAGCACATGCACAGACTCACGGATGCTGAAGGAACAAATTTTATCTAATAACCCTATGTTTCTCACACCTGATGGGCACAGGAATTTCCCAGGAATCAGGTTGAAATGCGGGTTCTCATTCATCAGGTCAAGGTGGAGCTTGAGATTTGAGATTCTACATTTTTTTTTTTTTTTTGGTGAGACAGAGTCTCACTCTGTTGCCCAGACTGGAGTGCAGTGACACAATTTTGGCTCACTGCAACCTCTACCCCCCAGGTTCAAACAATTCTCCTGCCTCAGCCTCCTGAGTAGCTGGGGTGACAGGCTCCTGCCACCACACCTGGCTAATTTTTGTATGTTAGTAGAGATGAGGTTTCACCATGTTGGCCAGACCAGTCTCGAAATCCTGACCTCAAGTGATCCACCCACCTTGGCCTCCCAAAGTGCTGGGATTATGCACGCGAGCCACTACACCCAGCCAAGATTCTACATCTTTTTTTTTCTTTTTTGAGACAGGGTCGGGTCTTGCTCTGTCGCCGAGGCTGGAACGCAGTGATGTGATCACAGCTCACTGAAACCTCCACCTCCCAGGCTCAAGCCGTCCTTTCACCTCAGCCTGCCAAAGTGCTGGGATTAAAAGTATGAGCCATCACACCCTGTTAGATTTTGCATCTTTAACAGGCTCCTGGGTGGTGCCTACCTTGCAAGCCCAGGGACTACACATTGAGTAGCAAGGTAGTAAACTGACCTTTGGCTTTCTTTCATGTACAGTGTGGTGTAGAGTGACCACCTCATTTTTGTTTTGTTTGCCCAGAACTGTTCCGGTTAACACCAAAAGTCCCACATCCCTGGAAACCCCTCAGTCCTGAGTAAACCAGAACGGATGATTACCCTATCAAGCCCCACAGTATCCCCAGGTGGCCAGGTAAGATTGGACCTAGTGAGCTTCTTTTCATAAGAAAGGCTCTGAGACCCGGTGCAGTAGAAATGCAAAGATGTTTGATTTACTCAGTTACGGTAAATTTCTCTCCTATTCTGGGAATGAAAACAGGTATGATGTTACGTACTCCACTGCCTAACATTGGGGCATATTTTCTATCACCAGGAGGGTAGTGTTTCTTGTCCTCCACCTGTGATTCCCGTTCTCCACCAACAGATTTCTCAATTCCAGTCTTTTTTTTTTTTTTTTGAGACGGAGTCTCGCTCTGTCATCCAGGCTGGAGTGCAATGGCATGATCTCGGCTCACTGCAACCTCCAACTCCCGGGTTCAAGCAATTCTTCTGTCTCAGCCTCCCAAGTAGCTGGGATTACAGGCACATGTTACCACGCCTGGCTAATTTTTATATTTTCAGTAGAGACAGGGTTTCACCATATTGATCAGTCTGGTCTGGAACTCCTGACCTCAGGTGATCCACCTGCCCTCGGCCTCCCAAAGTGCTGGATTGCAGGCATGAGCCACAGTGCCCGGCCTCAGCTCCAATCTTTTCTTGCCCCATCCCTGTTGCCCACTGTGTCCAGATTCTTCCCCAACCCCTCCTTTGAGCAGGCCACGCCCCTACCCTAAAACTTTCATTATTTTCAGACTAATATAGTTCCTGAGGTTTTTGTCCTTAAGGGAATAAGTTTTGTAATGAGTAGAAAAAAGTAAGAGATATTTTTAACTCTTAGGTAACTGATACTCTCTCAAGGGTGAAAAATATATATAAATCATTTTTTTAAAAAGTTTCAAGATTTTATATAATTAAGGGCTACAATGTTAGGTCCATAGGGTCTGTGTGGATATGGATTTGCAGATGAATTAGAGTGGAATCAGTAGGCATACCATCTAAAACTCCTTTCTACATGGCTTGGCCAGTTCCCGTGTGGTTGGCCAAACACTCCTGGTTAATTCCTTTTTCCTTGTTTTGGAGACAGTCTTGCTCTGTCGCCCAGGCTGGAGAAAAGTGGAATGATCTCAGCTCACTGCAACCTCCACCTCCTGGGTTCTAGCAATTATTGTGTCTCAGCCTTCCCAGTAGCTGAGATTACAGGCACATGCCACCACGTCCAGCTAATTTTTTATATTTTTAGTAGAGATGGGGTTTCACCATGTTGCTCAGACTGGTCTTGACCTCCTGAGCTCAGGCAATCTGCCCATCTCAGCCTCCCAAAGCACTAGGATTACAGGTGTGAGCCACCATGCCTGGTCCACTCCTGGTTAATTTCTTTTGCTTGTTTTTTTTCTTATTTTTCTTTTTTCACTCCTGGTTAATTTCTACCTCTGCGCCATTGTTTAAACCAGTCTCCCCATCAAGGATGTCCTGTAACCTTTCCTTTCAGCCTACCCACATCCTTCACTTCCTGTAAGGATCTTGCCCTCACTCCGCCAGTCCCCCTCACTATTTCAGCACAATAACCACAATCCTGCCCAGCAAAGGCTCAAAGATGGGAAGCCTCTTCAAGAGAAGAGAATGAATAAACATTAGGGAGAGGAGATCATCTCAGATTGAGCACCCACCAGGTCTCCTGCCAGCCTAATCACCCAACATCTCTCCAGCCTCCTAGAACAGCAGCTCCACTTACTTTCTTGATTAATTTTGGACTTTGATGTTGTTGTGAGATCATGTACCAGAAGTCTTGCCTAAGAGTGTGCCCTGTAAAAATTAATTGTCTTTGAAAAAAGTGGGTCGCCGTTCATTTATTTGACAAATGCGTATTAAGTGTCTTCGCTGTTCACCAGAGGGATAACATATGTACATTGTATTCCTCTTTAGGGCTGAGAAACCTAATTGGTATATATATTAGTTTGTTCTCACACTGCTATAAAGCACTACCTGAAACTGGGTAATTTATGAAGAAAAGAGGTTTAATTGATTCACAATTCCACAGGCTTAACAGGAAGCATGACCGGGAGGCCTCAGGAAACTTACAATCATGGCAGTAGGCAAAGGGGAAGCAAGCACCTTCTTCACATGGCAGCGGGAGAGAGACTGAAGTGGGAGGTGCTATATTCCGTCAACCAACCAGATCTCATGAGAACGGCAAGGGAGAAAGCCTCCCCCTTGATCCAATGACTTTCCACCAGGCTCCTCCATCAACATGTGGGGATTACGATTTGACATGAGATTTCAGTGGGGACACACCGCCAAACCATATCAGTATATATGTTAGAACAGCAATGGGCAAGGATTGCGAGCTGCTTGTGTAGTTAACTGTTTTGCAAGGACATACTGACATTATTGTTTTCCTTGTTTCTCAAAGCCAAGGACAGTATGTATCATTTATTCTTTACCCCCTGCAGCAGTGACTTCCAACTTTGGGTTCCCAAGTTTGACGGGGCTGCTGGTATCATGTCAATCAATTATTAATATTTCTAAATGCTGAATGAAGCAAACGCAAATGATAATTCAGTTTCTTTGCTTTTGGCTGGAGTGACAGCCTCTCAGTTTTGGAGTCCTGGTATTTCACACTGATCTGAAGCTCTGATTGGTAGCAATATCAGTGTGTTTTTGATAAATATAAGATGGGGAAAAGAATGAATTATTTGCTAATATAGTTTGCTTGACTAAACTCTTTCAAACCATTTTTTTGTAGGGGGCTGTATTAGTTTGTTTACTGTTGCTTATAACAGAGTAGCAGAAACTGAATAATTTATAAAGAAAATGAATTTATTCCTTATAGTTATGGAGGCTAAGAACACAAAGGTCAAGGGGCTGCATCTGGTGAGGGCCTTCTTGCTGGTGGGGACTCTGCAGAATCCCAAAGTGGTGCAGGTTATTACATGGCTAGCGGCTGGGTGTGCTAGCTCGAATCTCTCTTCCTCTTCTCGTAAAGTCACCAGTTCCCCTCCCATGGTAACCCATTAATCTATGAATCCCTTATGATCCAGTCAACTTTTTTCTTTTTTTGAGATAGGGTCTCATTCGGTGCCCAGGCTGGCATGCAGTGGCATGACCTTGGCTCCCTGCAGCCTCAACCTCCCAGGCTTAAGCCATCCTCCCATCTCAGCCTCCCAGGTAGCTGGGACTACAGGCACATGTCATCACGCCTGGCAAATTTTTGTATTTTTTGTAGACACAGGGTTTTGCCATGTTGCCCAGACTGGTTTCAAATTCCTGGGCTCAAGTAATCCTTCTGCCTTGACCTCCCAAAGTGTTGAGATTATAGGCATGAGCCACCATGCCCAGCCCCAATCAACTTTTAAAGGCCCCACCTCTCAATTCTGGTACATTGGGGATTGAGTTACAACATGAGTTTTGGAGGGCATATTAAAACCACAGCAGTCGAGTTAGAGCAAGAATAATAGCTGGCTTACATGCTAGGTGCTTGTTAAAAGCAACATCAGTGCTTGTTAAAATTAATACAGAATGAATTTGGTATTAAAATGGACTAGAAGGTGCTTGCCCACTATGGCTATGGAAAGTTCTGGAAGAACTCAGTGTAGCCTTCTCAACCTCAGAAGCAGGCACCTTGGGAGACAACATTCTAATGTCCAAGTGCCAGGTGGCTCCCTGATGGCAGCTTTGGGTACATGTCAGGGCCCCTGTGGGAAGTCCCACTTTCTACCCTTTTCTGGGGCTGGAGGGAGGGAAAAAGGGGCCCTTGGCTTAGACACTTTGCCCTGAACCTGTGGTTTCCTGGAAGCATCCAGGTAGCATTTAGGAAGGCAGAGGGGCAGAGTCGCTGGCGGGTGGTGAGAGTCCATGGGTCTGTAGGCCCCGCACGGCTCAGATGTTCTGTCAAAGCCCAGGCCTCGTCAACCATCTGTCTGTGAAACTGATAGGGAAGAGACATGAATCGCAGAGTGAGAGGCTGGCCTGGTGGTGAAGGCAGACCCCAGGGGCTCGGAGGAGGACCCTGTGCTTGTAGGAAGAAGGGTGGGAGGGAGGAAAGGAGGGAGCTTCCTTAGGCCTTTGGTTCTCATCACATGGAGACAACCTCATTCTGCAGCTGGCCTGTTGAAGAGCTAATGAGGTGAGGAAAATTCTTGGGAAATGATGGATTAAAACAAACCGTGGAAACCTTCAATGGAAACTGGCTTTCCAAAGAGTTGGGTGTGGATATAAACTGGCTTTCCAAAGAGTTAGGTGGCTGTGGATATAAACACAGAGTTTATCTTATTGTTTGAGAGTCGTGTGTTAAAAATTAGGAGCCCTGGGTTTTGTGACTGTGTTTTGACTTTAGGTCTTATTGTTTAAGCTCAATGAGCCTTACTTTCTGTATTCAACCTTTTTTTATACCTTATTAAAATATACTTAAATTATAAAAGGAAGGTAACATTACAGAAAGAGGGGGAAAACCTACGCTCTTATCACCCAATGACCCAACTACTTTAAATTATTAGGAATTCCCTGCCGGTCTTCTGTGATTTGCATATTACCTTTTTTTTAAACCATTGCAAGGATCATGTGGCATATATTTTTGTATACTGCTTTTTTCACAAGCTTGATATCATAAATATTTCCTATAGTTCTATGATGTTTATCATTTAGCAAATGGCATAAAAGTCCATTGCACAAATGGGTACAGCACACCAACATGGCACATGTATACATATGTAACAAACCTGCATGTTGTGCACATGTACCCTAGAACTTAAAGTATAAAAAAAAAAAAAAAGAGTCCATTGCACTCACGCTCTGTAGTTTAACCTTTATTGAGTGTTAAGATGGTCAGTATCTTTTTTCCCCTTATATTTTGAATAGTTTTATTAAGCAAGTTCCTGGGAAATCGTATTGATGGGTCAACATCCACCCTACTCTAGTGGGAGTAGAGGGCACAGGGCAATTTGTAGGGTGCCATCATTTAATTAGACAAATGATTTTTTGAGTGCCTTTAATGTGTGAGGCTTTGACTTTCTGTGTGCGTTATTGTATGTTACAGGGTCCGATTGAGGTTTCCTGAGTATGTGGCAAGACTGTGAAGCCTTGCTGATTAGGATGACT